ACTTAAATATTATGTACATGTTGTACATAAATTACAAAAAGGGATCAATAACTTGTGCAGTTTTGTATGAATTAAAGATTTCAATCAGTTCAAAAATGATTTGTTATATGTATGATTGGTACTACTAGTGATTAGTAAGTTTAAACTACATTTTGATACCGCAATTAGTTATACATCGTGTTTTAATTAATTAGTTTGTTATTTTAGAGTAAATAAAATCCCTAATGGCGGTGACTCAAATAATTGCGCCAATATCAATATCGCGTGAACTCCGTCCAACTTCATCAATGGAGTCCATGCGATTGGAAGGATTAGCCACATTGCAATGTGTCGGATGAAGCTCTTTGAATCTGCTGACGTTTGCAGTCCGAGATACGTGGGATCACACTGTACCATGCCGGGAGGTAATTATTTCAGATTGCGCAATTGGCAGGTTTGAATCTTCGCTTAAAGTTTAGCCAAACCCTTTTAGGCACTTTGAGGATTCGTTCTCCAAAATAAAATAAAAGACTGTATGATTACCGACTACTACTTTCTATTCCTTCACAAATAGGACAAGAACGGACTGGAATAAGTAGCCCACGGCAGCTTGAAACCCTTTCCTCGAGGTCACCATTATTTTAAAAGTAATCAATGACATTTGTAAACGTTATTAATAAGTAAGTTAGGCTTATTAAAACAGTTATTGTATTATTATTATTATTATTATTATTATTACTATTATTATTATTTTTATTGTTACTATTGGAATTTTGATCATTACTATGAAATGCAATGCTTTACTAAATATTTAATCATGTTCAAAGTAGTATTTATATTGAAGTGTAGTGACGTGTTTTGAAGTGTAGTGCAATAGAGAATTAGAAAGAGAAGTACGTGAAGGTAAGTGAAGTAAAGTGGAGTGCAGTGTAATTATAGTGTCGTGTATTTATTAGTTGTTTATAATATCGTAGTTACAAAACGTAGAGTTAATCATATTATTGCATTTATTGTTATCATTGTTACATTATTACTGTTATATTATTATTGTATTAAATGAATTGAAAGTTTAATTGTATTAATAATTATAATTGCAATAAATAAAATTTAGTGTTCTTCCACCAGGTTGCATTAACCTACCCGCAAAAATAATAAATATTTATCGATCTAGATGTACTAATGCTTAATCAATGTATTTATCTACTTCCCGCTGAATAACTTATTTTTGTATTATGCATTTCAATATCTGACATTATTAAATGTATCATTTGAATGTAAATTACACATCAGCAACTAATTGTTATAAATGATCTTGAAATGTGATAAAAAATCATTTTTCTTTCAAAACATATTTTTAACGTCGTTACGTAATAGAATTTGACAATTATTTTTCAATTAATACATTTTATTATGATGTACTTTACGTTTTCTGTAAATAATTCTTAAAAGTATAATAAATGTATGAATTATTTAAAGTAATTAGGATTAGTTATGTAAACGTTAGTTTCAGTAGTTTCTGAAAAACTATTGTCTTCCACGTGTTTAATACAGTCAATAGTAAAAAGAGTGAAGCATTTATGACAAATTGAGCATTACATCAACTAACAATTGGCACTAAAGTCTTTAATTCTGCGGGAGTTGGCAGACAAACGTCTTTCAAGAGGAGTATGGGAAACTTAACCTCTCTTTCCATCGATTCGCGTCCCGTCTGCTCCATCGGCAGCTCATCCCGGGGCGTCGCGTCGTATCGGAAGCCGTTGAGGCCCTAATTTTATATTCGCCGCGACCCGCGCTACCCTCACGCAAAATTCGGTTTCGATATACACGTCAATGTCGATTAGCCGCTTGAAGAAGACATCGTTAAACACTTAGGGTTAAACGCGTGCAATTTACCGACGGTACCTCAGATCCCTCTTCGCTCGGCGTAGTACACATCGGAAAAGCACTGGGGCTTGAACGAAAACCGATGCCCCGGGCTTCCGCTAAAGAAGACTGAATTTAATATCGAAGACGGTCCATTTCAATTAAAATTCCTGCTCTCAACTTTGATCTTGGACGAATTACTTCGGCAGGGATACGCAAAGGAATTGCGAACGGGGAGGGGATTGGGGGGGGGGGGCGGATTGCCTTTCCAACACTCTCGACTCCGTTCGCACGGCGCGGATTAGGCTCCCGAGATTGGTGCTGGTCCTCCGCAGTCCATGGCCTTTTTTTAAATGCTCAACGTATTGCATCAATTTTTTTAACGAATTGTAATATTATATATTTGAGAAAATATCAATTATAATTATGTACCAATATTAATATTTTCAATGTTTATTAAATTATTGAACATACTTGTTATTTTATTGAACATTGTGAATTGAAGCATTATAAAAGCAAGAAACAATCTCATATTGAAGTGTTATAAAAACATGTAAGAATTCCATGCTGTTTTTGTACGATTAATTCCCATAACGACGGTCCTTTATATGACAATATCTTGTATATGAGAGACGGGAATCAATATAAGTTTTACAGATCGTTTAAATAATCTTTAGTAATCTAAATAATAAAATAAATAATAAAATAAATAAATCTTCTAAATAATAAAATAAATAAATCTTTAGTTAGTTACTGAATTGACGGTGACTCATAAATAGTCAGAAAAATGAGCCAAACTACAATTGTTTATATAGTAATATAATAGGTAAAAAAGCAAAAATCTTGTAGACCAGTATGTTTGCTTTTCGTAATTCGATATTATCTTAAGACGTGCAACAAGCACATGAAATATAAAATGCGTTTTCAATGAAATAAACATATTTATTTTTAGATAATAATATTTTTCATCGCATAAACCAATTGATAATGATATAAAGTGAGCATACACGTAACCTATTCTAAAAATGAACAAATATCTTGAGAGTAAGAAATAATAAAAGAATCATTTTGTTGCATGAACTACTCAAAGACATATCAACACTTTAATTACAAAATTTTAATCAAAAAAATATTGTCAGCTCCGTATATAAATCATCGAAGCATTGAGACTAATCTTTATTTAATATTTTACTAAATAAATATGTTACGACCAATATGAGTATTACAAACTCAAATACGTTACCTGGTAATTGGAATATGAATTATTCGCAATCAGAGTATGATTTTACAATTATTAATAATTGACTTATGAATGAATACTGCATTCAGTAAATATCAAACGACAATACACACTTTTGGAGCATATTCTCCTGTGATATCGTGTTTCCCTAAGGCGAATACAATAAATGTCAAGCGCTTACATACCAATATAAACACTGGGGAAACAGATTAATCTGAAATGCAATTAAAATATTTTATATTTTTAATTGGTTCTCGTATTCACATTGAATATTATCTTCATAATTTAAACAAAACACAGAATTGCTATAATAATTATTATTATTTAAGAACCTTTGGTAAATGTTAACTTTTGCTGCAATGTCGATTTAATATTGGTATATTGTTTCTCTCTCATTTTCATTTATTTTCGCGAAATATTATATGTTTTCAGATCAGCAGTTCATTTTTAACAATATTGTTTATTTTATTTTTTGTTAAAATACAATTTATTTAATTTCCCTTCTTTAGATCTGTTGTTCTTTGGAGGTCTATGCTCAAGACCATTACTACAAGGAATCTAATGTGCACTCTTTCTTGATTTTGGTATTGCTGCAACTGTTTTTGTCTTCGTTTTTATTTTAAATCAGCAGATAGCACAACCTTCAACCGTGATGCTCTTCAGTTGAGTGGCCAAATAACTTTGTATCAGCAAAGTGTGAATGGGTAACTGCTTGCCACCTCTCTGATAGTGATTTCTTCATGCTATGCCTTCAACCACGATTATTACGAGGAAAATTGTTTGAACATTAGAGGAGAGGGTTTAGAAAGGAATTCGATGAAAGAGACAGGTAAATGGAAGAAATGGACCTTTTTAACTGATATACGGAAGAGGAGTAGTGGAAACACTGCAAGTGTACAAACAACTCACGCATGAAAGCTGAGAACGGACACGAAAGACTCGCTTATACGAACTTCATTAAAAAAGTTGATAATTAATGAGGAGGCAACAAAGCAAAATTTTGATAAATAACAAGGAGACAATGGTCACGTATACAAACACACGTATACGTCAACAGTACATTCTTGTTTGCATTATTAGTAACTTTCTCCATTCTTGAAAAATCAGAGAGTTCATTCAACATGGGACATGCGCTATTATTGTGGGATACCTTACTATACACGAGAAAATGTTAAAATATTCGGAGTCCTATTTGAGAAAAATGTATAAATTATTATAACTTCAAGCAGAAATTAAGTAAAAAGTATTCCTTCTTCCCAAAATTATATATGACATTATCTAAATTTCTATTATTTAGTACATATTTAATTAAAAACACTCTTCAATATTCTACTTTTGCAATTTTTATTTCTCGGAATTTTCAAAAGTTCAGGAAGTACTTATCTGTGATTTGTCACGAATACAAACGGAGAAAATTAAGATATAAAATCGTTCACGTACATTACAATGTACAAATTAATCACGTACAATGGTAAGTCTAGGTCGTCTAAAAGTCGCATAGTATAAAAAAGTATAGCATTATTGCGCGTGGATATCGACTGATACAGATACGCTTTACGCGGTGCAAAATACCGGGAAAAATAATAAGTGTTCGCTTTACGTACAAATGACCCAGTATGACGATGTGTGACGATTAAAAAGCTCACTCCAAGGTGACCGTATATACATGAAGACCAGTATATACGGTGGAGGGATGTCTTTGTGCTAACCGTGGGAACGACCTGATGTAATGGCCGAGAGGCTGGGCCACCGCGGGTCAGCCATGGCCCGTATCGGGCTGTCGAGCCAAGAACAGGACAGGAGTGATAAATGGCACCGTGTGTACGTATTTCCTGAGGAGTTATGGAATTTGAAAATTCGCATTCAAATCGCTGCAAATTGCAAAGGCGACGCAACGCCGCGTCAAGTCAACACTTACGCAAAGTCTGGCGCGTGCTGCGTGATGACAGCGCTGGGAGAGCTCGTCTTCTTCTTCCTCCTCCTCCTCCTCCTCTTCTTCTTCTTCTTCATCTTCCTCCTCTTGCGCCCCACGCGTCGACGGCTGCTGATATCGGGGGTCTAGTCTCCAACTTTTAATATTATACAGATCTCCAGTGTAGACCATGGATCCTCTGTGAGCCCGTGACATAGCGAGTGATCTGCAAACACATAAGCAAAGGCAAGTTAGTTACATTGCGTGTATTCACTGTGAATTGAAAATTTAGGATTAATATGGAGCTAACAAGATAAATATTTTACGAATGTTTAATTGTACTATTACATCCTGATATATAATACCAATTAAGTTCCTTGTACGTAAATTTGTCAGTACATCCATTATTTTTGTATTATATTAGGTATTCACTTATATATTTATGAAGTATATCCTGCTATTATTATTATTATTATTATTATTATTATTATTATTATTATTATTCATTGTCGTCATCTGTATTACTGTACACTAGCCTAGTGTGCCAGTGGGTACTAAGCAATTAGTTTCTGCTCTACGCAACTTCATAAAAAAAAGAAAACAATACTTTGATTTGCTCGCTCGTCTTTTCTCTTGCAGAAAGTTTTCAAGAATGCATAAATCCATGAAATGAATCCATAAAAGCATATTTTATATCTTTCATCACACTTCTACGCTTACCAATCGCCACACTTTCCTAACTATGCCCAAAAGATGTCCAATGGCATGTGGGAAAGGCAGAATAGAAATTCACAAATCCCCAAATCCCCGTAAAAGTAGGACCAACCAAACACGAATTCTGCCTAGACCACATAATAGAAGATTGTTTTCTAAATTTAGCAACGGATTTATCAACTTTTTCGTTACTAGGGCCTTGAAATAAGAAATTTTCTGCCAAAAAATTAGCCAAACAAAAAATTAGTTTTTGCATAGGATTACATAACTATCTTTCTACTGCGTAAAGATTAAGTAAAAAGGTATTCAAATCGTCTTTTGAGTTTTTTGTAACAAATCTAGCACTGCAGCCTAAGAATTTTGAGAAAACTACGAACATGTTCTTAACATTGGCTATTACTGATACTTTTACTCTATTCACTTGGAAAAATAGTTTTCAGTGTCATTAGTAATGATTCTTACATACAGATAAACAGATAGAGTAACGGATTTGAGTGAGTAAAAACATTACTTTTACTGACATACGAACAATTCAATACATACAATGCAAATTATTTATTGTTGAATTTTTGAAACGTACATTAATAAATTTTGCTAAAACATTGATAATATGTTCAGACCGTTAACTGCGAGAAACGGTTCTAAAATATCCTCGAATTGGTCATTAAAACAAACACTATCAGTGCCACATTCAAAATGTTGCGTCTATGGTGAGTCGAAGCTCTGAGAATAGACCTTAAGAACTGCGAAGAAAGAGTCTACATCTTTTGGATTCAAACCGAGAAAACGCTGTTTGATTTGATGAAATAGGAGTACAATTTACGAAAGCCATGAATGTGACGTGGCATTGCAAGTGCACCCGAATTCATGCCGTCCGAATCTCAGCTCGCCAGCCTGCAGTGAAAAATGAAGTGCACTCGCTGTTTACGAGTAACGTTAATGACACCCCAATCTACAATATCACATCGAGTCTTAGAAATGACCAAACATTTGCGGCCATATAAAGCTGCCATAAAATTAAAAATTGAAGTTTTCTATGAGAATCAATTAGTTATCCTGAATTTGGCGTCAGGCTAAAACCTCAAGCTAAAACGACAAAAATATTTCTAATATAATTAATATAATTAAGAACAAGCTGCTGTGTTTAGTCACCAGAAATGACTCTCCTGCATATCTATAAAGAAAACTAAAATTAAATTAAGTAGAAAAGTAAAATATATTTTTAGGAAAAAGAACAAAAATATGCCTTTAATAGAACCAGTATTCCTAGTAACTACATATTCATAAATCGTCAAGTATATGCAATACGAAAATTTACTATATTACTTTGTATCAGTTTGTATTTTTAATTATCTGAAACATTCTAACACAGATTTAATTGAAATTAAAATTTCTGAATTTGAATTTCTTTAATATCATCAAATAAAATTGGTCAACTTTCATAAAATATTTAACCCCCACCAAATTATACGCAGCAGAGCAATCAAATATGTACGACGATGTCACGCGCTCTTTCATCACTCACACACGCTTAAAAAAACAACACAAACACGGTATGCGTGCACTCTTGCGGGGTGGCGCACCCACTCCGAGAAAGCCTCAAATAAATGCGCCAGTGCCGGCGCTCCGCCTCGCGGCCCCGCGCGCCTCGGAATGCAATATTAAGCAGCCGCACGGCGCCCCGACGCCCCGCGCTCCACGTGGCGCGGCGCGGCGCGGCGCGGCACGGCACGGCTGGCGGTGGCGGTGGAGGTGGAGGTGGAGGTGGAGGTGGTGGTGGAGGCGGTGGTGGAGGTGGTGGCGGAGGCGGTGGAGTGGAGGCGGTGGTGAGGGCGTGGTAGGCGGCGAAGGCGAGGCGGTGGCGGAGGTTGTGGCGGAGGCGTGGCGAGGCTGAGTGGAGTCGGTGGTGGAGGTGGAGCGTGGCGGAGGCGAGGCGTGGCGGAGGTGGTGGCGGAGGGAGCGAGGTGGAGGTGGAGTAGAGGTGGAGGCGGCGGTTGGATGGCGGTAGTGGAGGTGTGGCTGGGTGGCGTGGTGGAGGCGGTGGCGGAGGCGGAGGCGGTGGTGAGGTGGTGGCGGAGGCGGTGGCGCAGGTGGTGGTGGAGGTGGAGTAGAGGTGGAGGCGGTGGTGGAGGCGGTGGTGAAGGGTGGTGCGGTAGCGATGGTGGAGGAGGAAATGGGGGCGGTGGTGAAGCGGATGCGGCGGCGGAGCAGAGCCGAGGCGGCGGGTCGTCGGAGGCGTGGCGGTGGGGAGGCGGTGGTGGGGCGTGCGGAGGCGGAGGTGGTGGCGGAGGAGGTGGCGGAGGGTGGCGGAACGGAGTGGAGTGGTGGTTGAGCGGTGGTGAGCGGCTGACGGTGGTGGCCGCTAGCGATGGTGGAGCGTTGGAAGTGGAGGCGGTGGCGGAGCAGAGGCACAGACGATGCGGCGATGGCGGCGGAGGACGGCAAAAGCCGTGGCGGGTTGAGGCGGCGGCATAGTGGAGGCAGAGGGGAGGGAGAGGCGAAGGCGCAGGCTGAGGCGGAGACTTTGCAAAGGTGGCGGAGGTGGTGGTAGCGACGGCAGCAGATGGAGGCGGAGGCGACGAGCGGCGGCGGCGGAGGCGGAGGCGAGCGCGTCACCCGCGCGGCTTATGCTGCAGGCGGCGCTGAGCTCACGGCGCGCGCTTTTTACGACGGGTGACACGAGCACCTTTCCCTTCCCCCTCCCCTTCACCTCAGCGCTGCGAGACCACCGCGAGAAGCAGCTTCGATGGTGTGGCGGGTTGCGCATCTGGTTATTCTACACAAGTTTGTGGGTTCAAACATGATCGAAGTCGTGGATTCTTACGAGCGAAAACAATCATTCGTACGCATTTATTTTGAAAGGATGTAAAGCCAACTGTCCCACGTTGTAGATTTACCTGCAGGCAACATATTTGCAAATCTAAAAGAATACTCAGAAGGGAGTTTAAATCGCTTCTTTCGTCGCTAAAGTGATACCTTCTTTTCTGCAAGATGTTGCAAGGAGTGTAGCGAAAATCGCGTGGTCAGGCGAACGAGAAGGCCTGATGGCTTTGGTCTCACCACGTAAAAAAAATCCCACTAGGCCTATATTCGTCTCACAAGTTCCACTAATAAGTTCACAAAGTTTTATCGCAATCGGATGAACGGTACGGCAGCGCATTAAGTATGACCCAACCAACCAACAAATCAATAAACAACAATTTTTTCTTCGATATGTATAAGATTTCATTTCTTTGTTTAGTTTTATTGTCGACATGGTACTTCCTGTACTTGCGTGAGTCACGAACTTGTTATTCATGAACCACATACCTCAAGTGCGACAACCCACTCTCACCACTCCCATGTATCTCATTTGCTAGCCCTTAGAACCGACACATACTCCAACAGAGCGGGTTTCCCCCAGCACTAGCGCATCCTAAGAACAAATGCAACACTGCGGCGCCCCTACCGATTCTTGGAAAGAATTCCCATAATCCTGCTCTTAAGAACTCAAACGCAGAGCACGAGGGATGAGGTCAGCGAGGCAGGTACAGCGCGCGCCGTCAGAGAGAAAGCGAGAGTCGAGGTTCTTTGCTCTCATCGCCGATTCTGCCTCCTGCAGAAGACAACACTCGCATGGCCTTTGTTTTAGGGGAAGCCGTTTCGGTACGTCTATAAAAATGAACTTTATACTTCAGAAATGCGGTCAGAAAAATACATAGAATCCAAGGTTAGAAAATATTTATAATCCAAAGTGATAAGGTAAGTTTCAATTTCATTTAGAAGTGTAGAAAAAGAAACAAGTGAAACGAACGATTGTATCATGTTTGGCTCATTGCATGTTGGGAATATTGTGTTAAAACACTCGCCAAACACACTTTTTTATATAATACGTTTATTTTCATAACTGCTCATCCTTTCATCCATGTCAATGTATCACTACAAGACGGACTGTCTGAATATATAAATGATTCATTATAATGTATTTTCAATTTAAATAAAGCACAAACATCACATAATCTTTAGGTCCGGAAATACATTTAAAAACTTTAAAGTAGGGTACTTTTCATAACTTTCTGTTGTGTGATAATCTTGATTTCTCCTATTGGTGATAATCGTTTTTGTAGTCAAGGTGCAAGATGTTCATTTTACATGTTCTACATGTAAATTACGGTGAAGACAGATTTCGAATTCAACTGAATAGCTGAAGCGAATAATTGGACGGTTTATTTCATATTGAAAAGCATTCTAGAACATGAGAGTTAGGTGTCGTTTCCGTGCCGCCCTTCTATTAATTTAATTAAGATGTAGTACCACCATCACCCATTGGAAATCCGTCCTTTGTTGTGCTATCCATCTCTCTCAACTGCCAGAGGTCTATACACTCGCGGTGTGTTTAGATCGGTCTGACTGCAGAGATTCCGCAAGTGGAATATATCCACGGAAACCTGTGGAGGAGATGACTCATAAAGTCAGCTCTTTGACGATAAGGCAAAAAGCTCAAATCACGCACGAATATACAAGCGCATGTAC